TGGCAGAGGCAGGACCCTGGCCCGGTACCCCGCGGCAGGTACCTGCTAGACCATCCCCTGCAGCCCTACACAGTCCAAGGGGCTCCGATCCCACCTCCTCATCCCTGTCCAGCCCCTCCCCCTCCTCACCTGTAGCCCCACAGTGCCTGGGATGCCAGCAGGCCCAGGGGGGCCAGGATCACCCTGCAATGGAGGTAAAGGGCTGTGAGCTGGGTCAGCCCGAGCTCTCTCTGAGCCCACTGGTCCCCCCACCTGAGTCCACGCAGCCGGGGTCATTGCCCTATTCATAGCCGAGGCTCTGAGGCTGAGGGGCGCTGGCCCTCCTCTAGAGAGGCAGGCTCCCAGTCTTTCCCAGAATCCTCTGCCTGGCTGGCGTGGGTCCTTCTGTCAGCCTACCTGAAGCCTGTGCGTGGGGACAAACATATCCACCACGGGCAGTGGCCACAGGGGTAGGGGGGAGGCGGGGCCTCCAGGAGACGCTTCTCCAGCCACCAGGGGGGCCTGCCTGAGCTCAGGGAACTTCACGTGAGACCAGGCAGGTGGGGGTCTGTCCAGAGACCCTGCCCCAGATCACCTGGCTCTGACCAGCCAGGCCCCTCAGAGGTCGCGTGCATAGCGTGTCCCAGAGGCAGCCAGTGCTCCCTCACCCCCCCACCCACCACCTGTGGGGCCCCAGCCGTCCCCCCCAGCCGAGCACCCATCCCTCCTGCCAACACCCCCCAGAGCCTGTGTTCACCTTCTCACCGTCCTTGCCGACCTCTCCTTGCTCCCCTTTGTAGCCGGTGGGCCCCTGAAAGCCAGAGGTGAGCGACGAGTCACAGCCTGTCCCCAGCAGCCCTGAATAGAGGCCTGCACGGCCACCAGCCCAGGTGGGGAAACTGAGGCCTGGTCAAGTGGGGCAGGGCCTCCCAGTCCTGGTGGCCACACCAGTGCCCAGCGATTACCACTGTGGAACAGGGGATGGGGCCAGAGCGGGGACTCCAGGCTGGGCTGGAAGCCAGCCCTCCTTTCTTCCTGCAACAACCAGGGCAGACTTTCTGGACCCTCGTGTCCCCCCAACTCCCCTCTAGATCTCGAGGCCCAAGTTGGACCAGGCTGCCTCCTCCTGTGGGGCATGGAGGGGGCTCGGCTCAGCCACCCTGTGGCCGCTGCTCACCTTGAACCCTGGCATTCCTGGGGGACCGGGAGGGCCTGGTGGGCAGATGGCCGGGCACTGTTGGAAGACAGAGTGGTCAGAGCCCCCCGGACAGCCCGGGACCTGGCAGAGTTCAGGAGCCAGGGGCCCTGAGATGGGCCCTTCCACCAAGCGAAGGGGACCTCGGGCCACACCAGGGCCTCCTGGGACCCCAGACACGGCCTCATTCGGCGCGGCTGGGGGGTGCAGGGAGGCGTTGCATGGAGCCAGCCCTCGGCTGCCTGGCCTCTCACGGCCTCCTGCTCAGAGCCGGCTCCCCTTTCTCAGCGGACATTTAGCAACGGTGGCTGCTGGCTTCCCAGGGGGGCCTGCGGCCAATTTCAAGCTGGGCTTCTCCTCAGGGCACAGATGTGCTTTAGGACAGGTGTCCTGCAGGCGCAGATGGGATGCTCCACGCCCAGGGGCGCGGTGAAACCCAAGGGACCGCACTGGGTTTTCTGGATCATTCCACAGCTAATCTGGCACAGAGCCAGGGCCATCCGTCTCCGCCCTCGCCGCTCCTGCCTGGCCCGTGGCCAGGGGCCCAGCCCTTCTCCTGATCCTGGAAGATCCCTAAACCCTCCCTCTGGGACACCAATGGGTCCAGCACTCTGGACCCGGGGTGGGGCTGGCCTCCTTCAGGATCGAGAGACCTCTGTGCGCCAGCTGGAGGCTGGCCCTTCTGGGAACGGCCGCACACCACGGAGAAAGCCCTGGGGCCACCCAGACGTTGCTCGTCTCTTTCCAGAAGTGACAAAGCTCAAAGACAAGAGAAAAGCGAGTTCCAGACACTAGTCCCGAGCCTTCTGTGCGGCCGAGACACCGTGCCTGCGCCCCCCAGAGCAGCAGACACTGGCCACGTGTGGCTGAACGCTCAGAACGTGGCCGCACCATGGAGGGGCCGGCCAGCTCCATCGCGCTCAGCTCAGATCGGCACTGCTACACGCGGCCAGGGCGCGGGCCCCCCTCCCTGCCCTCCTGCGGGTGGGGACAGGCCACTCTCCACATGGGTCCCCAAGGAGGTGGGGGGGCACCCCAGCCCCCTTCACAAATGGCTGCGAGTGCCTACCTGGAGATCAGTGATGCCTTCAGGGAGGACCCCTGGGTGACCCTGGAACACAAAGGCAGCTGACTTTGAGGCTGCCCTCCCCCCCTCCGCCACCTGTCCCTACAGGCCTGCTAGGGGGCTCAGGCCCTGCCTCCCCTGCAGTGGCCTGTGCTGGGCACCAACAAGGACGGAGACTGCTGCCTTTGGGGCAGAAGTGGCCACCGGCCCGAGCCCTGCCCCTCCCCACGTCAGCTGACCCAGCCGCTGCCGTGGCCCTGGGCTCTGCACACGTCTGGGAAGTGGACGGGAGTGCACATGGGCGTGGGTTTGGGGCAGGGGGCCCTGGGGGACAGGAAAGTCAAGCCCACCATGCCTGGCACTTCCCCGAGCAGTCTGGCGCCCCCTGTCCCATACTTACCGGGGGTCCAGGAGGTCCCGGAGGGCCAGGGAGGCCTGGTAGTCCAGAGGGTCCCTGGGGGCAGATTATGACGTTAGGTGGAGCAGGACCAGCCTCCACCTAAGGGGAGGTGACCAGCTACTTCCAGAGAGAAGCCTCCCTCCCCTGTGCCCTATGGGGACACCCCACTCTGCCTGCCTCCCCCCGCCCTGACTGGTGCTGGTGTCCACGGTGCCTCCCGAGGCCTAGTCTATCCTCATCCCTGAGGGTCAATCAGGGCGTCTATCAAGGCCACCAAGAAAGGAAAGGGGGGAGGGATGGATGGGGGAGGGGTAGGAGGGGGGAAGGAGAAAAGGGGGGCAGAGCCCTTGGTGGTTGGATTGGGGGTGTCCTGACAGGCAGGGCCCTGCTCTGAGCAGTGGGGGAAGGTCAGGGGCAGCCACTCACCGGGGGGCCCCGGAGGCCCATTCCACCTGGGACACCACTCTCTCCTGCCTCTCCCTGGGGGGGGGGCGGATAAGGGAGTGAGACACGGGGGTCTGTACCCACAGAGCTCTGAGGACCCCACCCAGTGCTGGTTTGCCCTCTCTGAAGGGACAGCAACCCCAGGCAGCCGGTCAGGTGGCTGCCCCTGAGGAGGCCCGCCCCTACCCCGGTTTGGGACCTGGCAGCCAGCTTGGCTCTGAGTGTGGTGGGTATGCTGGGATGGGGGCCATGAGCATGGTCAGTACTCACGGGGGATCCGGGGAGGCCTTTGCCCTGCAATGCCAAGCACCGGGTCAGAACTCGCCAGGGACAGGATAGGTTTGCCTGCCACCCCACCCCTTCCCCAAGATAGGTGGGGCACAGGGGGGAAGCACCTCAGGGGGTGAGCGCCGGGTGCAGGAGACCCTCCCTGGGGGAGAGAGGACACGGCCCAGTAGCCAGCCCGGCAGGCAAGGGGGCTGGACAGTGCCTCCCAGGGCTCCCGGAGGGCCTCCCCACCCTGGTCAGTCCCGCTGCGGGAGGACGCAGTACTTACCCCCAGCCCGGGAGGCCCCGGGGGTCCCAGACTTCCCTGCAGAAGGAAACCAGGGTGTCAGGAGCGGGCTGGGCCCAGGCTCCCAGGCCTCTGAGAGCAAACCTGTTCCCCTCCCCCACTCTGGAGAGCGGGGGATTCTCCGTTTTACAGAAGACTGAGGCCCAGGGGGGACCCCGGATGCCCCAGTGGCCCGGGACAGGTCTTCTGCCAACAATCGTGCTGAGGAAAATCCAGACTCTGTCGGAAGTGGACGCAGAAAGCAGCACGGAGCGGGCAGGCCAGGCCAGCAGGAAGGCCCAGCGCCGGGCCTCCCTGAGCCCCACAGAAGGGCCGCCACGCTTGGCTCCGCTGACTGAGGGAGCCTGGGACCTGGGCAGCCAGGGCCTCCTGCTCCCTTGTGTCCAGAAGACATGGTCCTGGCACTGGAGGCCCCTGGCCCCCAGGGGCTCCCTACAGAAAGCCTGCAGCTGCCCCTCCCTCCCCTCTTCCCAGGAGGAGGCAGCACGGAAAGCTGGTCACCCCCCATCCCGACTGAACGCGAGGACAACCACGACCAGAGGCCAGTGTGGGATGGGCCACCCTGTGCCCACCTGCCTTTCTGCAACCCTCTGCCTCCCCACAGACACGAGCCCAACAGCATGGCCAGTCTGCGGACAGAGCGCGCTCAGCCCTCCCGCCAACCGGGGACCCCCTGAGCCGAACCCTCGGGTGCGGAGCAGCACTGACCCGCTCTCCAGGCGCGCCCTTGGGGCCGGGTGGTCCGTCCTGCCCTGTCAGGCCCTGGGGAGAGAGGCAGAGGAGGGCTCAAGGGGCCACACGGGACGCCCCGCCGAGGGCACTTTCCTAACTAAAACGGGTCCAGAGGCTGAGGAGGGCCTTGTGTGTGGCCCCCCCCGGCTCCGGCCCGCCTGCCGTCCACCTGCAGGGCCCGGGGCTCCGGGGGAGTGAGGAGCTGGGGGGTCCAGCAGGCCGGGGAGCTCATGTCTCAGATCCCTGCTCTGACAGCGGTCCCAGGGCCAGCCTGGGGCTCAGAGGGGCCCGGATAAGGGGCGTCTGGTCCAGGGAAGATGAGCCAGCAGCGTTTGCACCTCTGCTGTGGGCCGGCTCTGCCCCGGCCAGCCGCGGCCAGGCGCTACAGGGTCTGGGCTCAAGGCCCGCAGAGCCTGCTGGGGGACATCCGGACACTCTGGGGACAGAGCACGCACAGCTGGGGAACAGCAACTAAACTTGACTCCAGGGCTCAAACCCCTCCAGGTGCAGGCCCAGAGGGGAGCAGAGGGGCCCAGAAGAGGGGGCTCTCAGGAGGGGGGGAGGGGCAGGCACACTCACGTCCACTCCAGGCAGTCCCGGCAGCCCGGCCTCTCCTGGTTTCCCTGGCTTCCCTGGGGCCCCTTTTGGTCCCTGGAGGAAGGGGGCGGGGTGGGGAGCGGGCAGAGGCGTGAGAGCAGGTCGGGCCTAGAGCCTTGGCCTTCACCAATAAGAAAAGGGCTTTCCAGCTGGGGCACCACCCAGCAACTAGAGATCGGCTCCTGTCCACCAGAGGCCCGGCCCTGCCTGCTCTCCTGCAGACCCCCCCCCCGCCACGGGCCCCAGCCACCGCCCTCTCCAGCTGCCCCCCCTTACCCAATCACACCTACAGGACATTCACCTGGATGCCTTGCTCACCTGATGCTTTGGCTGCCCCAGCTAAGGGCCAGTGGGTCCCTCTGTGGGACCGCCTGTGTGCCCCCAGGACTCTCAGTTCCCAAGCCTGAGCAGCTCTGGGGAAGCTCACTGTGGCACCTGGCCTGCCTGGCACAAAGAAGGCTTCCAAGCCGGACCCCACCCAGAGATATGCTGAATCCCACACACCCCCTCCCACCCGCTTCCTGGCCAGGCCCCTGCTCCGAGGCCTCCAAGGCCTCCCGCCTGGCAGGCAGCAGGGCCCGGTGTGGTGGAAAGGGGCGTCAATGACCCCTCTGTTCTGGGCCCACCCCTCCCCTCACTGGGGCTGGTCACTCACCGGGGACCCAGGCAGACCCGGAGGCCCAACTTCTCCCTGCAGAGGGAAGACACCCACATGTGAGCAGCATCTCCCGAAAACCCAGCCCTACGAGAGCACCCCCACCTCATCCACATCTAGGGGGCACCTCCCCTGTGTGGTCAGGTGCAGAGGCGGGAGCGGGGGAGGGGGGGAGCCAGACAGCTGGGGCTCAGCCCCTATAGGGCCTACATACCTTTTGAGGGCAGAGGGACACCACCTCCAGAAGCAAAGGGAACGTGTCCCACAGCCCCCCACCCCCACCCCACCAGCCCGAGAAGCTTCAGAAGGCGGGCTGTGGGCACTGAGAGGCCTCCTGCTCCCACGTGATTCAGGGTGGCAGCCTCCCAGACTCGCAGAGGCCCAAGGAGGCACCCCAGCCCCCGCCCCCCGTGACCACTAGGCCTGACACCCTTTAACTGAGGCTTGCAGGCCAGGTTTTTAAGGGGAGGCCTCCCCAGAAGGAACAACTCAACTTGACTCCCGTCAGCCTGGGAGTCCTGGGGGGCCAGGGGCCCAGCCCTGGCGGGAGGGGCATAGGGGCCAGCCTTGGGCTGTCCTGCCCCTCTCTGCCTCCACCCTGCAGGGCTGTCGCTGAGCACCCTGTGGGTCCGGGTCGGCCAGGGTCGGGGTGGGTAGGAGACTCGGGGCCATCCAGGGCCTGGGGGACTCAGAGGCTCAGGACCAGTCAAGGGGGGGCTCCTGTGGTACGTTATGGGTAAGGAGGGACCTGGAGCAGGCCCCTACCTTTCATGGAGGTGACTGGATTGGGGGTTCACCCAGATAGTTCTGGGGGAGGCAGGCTGCAGGTTTGGGCCACACTTGACCTGGGACACCCATGGAGGATGCTGTCTCTGGGGCAGAGCCAGCCCCCAAGCACCCCCTGAAGCTGGCTCCAGCCCCAAGCAGCCTCCAACAAGACCCACCCAGAGGGACAGGCCCTGCACCTCCACCAGCGTGGCCCCTCTGGGGGCCCAGAGACACACACCTCAGTGCCCACAGTTCTAGTCCAAAGACTACTGTGCAGCACCCCCCGCCCCCTGCTCTGGGGGCACAATCCCGGTGGGGTGAGCCCCGAGCAGGACCCGTACCCTTTGCCCCAGCCCTGGGAAGTGGGCATTGGTTTTGTCTCCATCAGGTCTGGGGCTCAGGGAAGTTGGGGCCGGACTAGAACCCCACCGAACTCTCTGGGGCCCCTCCCACCCCAACTTACATCAACGCCATCCTTGCCCGGCTTCCCAGGGGGCCCTTGGGGGCCAGGGGGGCCTTGGGGTCCCACTTTCTGAAATGGAGAAACATCATTATGCAGCTGTGCCATCCACCCTCACCTGTGGGGCAGGTCCCCCCAGTCAGCCTCGGGTCAGCCCAGCAGAGTGTCCCCTCTCTGGGTCGGGAGCGGCGCTGGGGCCTGGCCGGGGGCCCCCCGAACCAAGCCTGCCTCAGAGACCCCCCCGGAGCCTGGGGCCAGCAGTATCTGCTGCCTCCATCCTCAGGCCGGGAGGGGCTAGGCCACGGCCCCACGGGAGCCTCAGGGAACAAAGGCGGCATTGTGCCTCTCCGGCGGGGGTGGTGACACTAGCAGCAGCCGACCGGGCCAGGCGAGGACAGGGCACCGTCCTGGGCTCATCCACGACGCGTCTCGGCGTCCGCGGGGGCTCGGCCGGCCACGGGCTTCAGGGCTGCGCCGGCGCTCCAAGCGTCCTCGAGTTCCAGGCTCACTCGCTGGCCCAGGGTGGCTGGGGGGAGGGTGGTCCCCGGGCCACGCGGCTCAACGCCCCCCTCAGAGCCCCAGACTCCCACCCCGGCCGATCTCCGGTGTGAGCCCAGCATGCCGCTCCAGCCCCGCGCTCACCTGCGCCGCGCTCAGGGTCACGGCCAGGAGCTGCCCGAGCAGGAACAGCAGAGTGGGGGCTCCGGCCATGGCCGCACTCGCGCTCTGAGCGGCACCAGCGGTGGCCGCCTGGGCTCCGAGCGGCGGGCGGGGCGGGCGGCGGGCTGGACGCCAGTTCCCGCCCCGCCGGCCGGGCACAAGCCCCCCATTCAGCAGGGCCCACCTGGGGCTTCCGCACCGCCCCACGCCTCCCCGCCGAGCCAGCCAGGGGAAAGAAAGAAACCCAGTGGCAGTTTTTTGGCCAGCCTCTGAGTTAAAATTATCCCCGAGACTGACGAGTTACACACATATACCTTTGAGCGAAAAAGAAAGACGCTCTTTTCTCCGCTTGCTCCTCAACCAGGGTATGCAGAGAGGGAACAATCCCACATTGAAGGCTCCTTTGGAGAAGGGGCAGCCTCAGCCCTAGAGACAGGGTGACCTCCCCAGGGTCCCGAGTGGGACTGAGGCTGCCCAACGCCCAGGAAGACCCCAGACCGGGCCCCCTACAACTCTGGCTCCTACTACCCCATCTGGCCATGGGCAAAAGTCTAGGGCCATGCCTGCGAGGCTGGGACACCTCCTATTCCCAGGGTCCTTGCCCCAAACTTTATCCTGAGTGGCCCCTCCATGTCATCCATCGCTGGCAAAGGCCAGACTCTTATCCGGCTCTCCCCTCCGCAAGAGAGAGCCAATCGGTGGTGCTGGCTGAGGAAGGTAGCACCACCATGACCACGGGGCCTGAGCAAAGCTGGTGATGGACTCAAACCCCAAGGCTGGTGTTGGCTGTTCCCGTTTCTCACAAGCCTTGGGCAGCTCAGGGCTGCTGGATTTAGGCAAACTCTGCTTCACCCTAGGAAGGCATAGGAACAGCAGGGTGAGGGGCAGCACCTGGGGCCAGGGGCCTCCATGGCCACCCTAGGGGACTCTCACAAATCCAGGTCACCTACAGGCCCACTGAATTTGCAGGATCTCAGCCCCACCCACAGCCAAGTTTCGGAATGTTTAGAATTCCCTGGGAAATGCTGTTTTAAGATTTACAGTATGCTGTATGAACTTCACTTCCTCTCCTTCCTTCCTTCCTTCCTTCCTTCCTTCCTTCCTTCCTTCCTTCCTTCCTTTCACTATTCAAGTGCAACAGTGAGAGGTGGGGAAAGAGTGCAATACAGAGTTCAATCTGTAACTGACTGAACAATTGAAAAAACTCACCACCTTTGGACCTGTCTGTATAGTATATGAGCTTCATTTCTGTGGGTGGGAACTCAGGATTTGTGAGGTGCATGGGTTTACATGGGAACAGTGGGTGGAAAACGAAAGGGATAGAGTGGAGAAGCAAACTGACTCAGTCGAGAACCTCAGCTCACCATCGGGGTAGACTGGCTGCTCACTTCCTCAGATGGGAGGGTGTGTGTGAACTCTATCAAGGAAGGCCAAGAGAAGCTCAAAAGCTCTTGCCCTCCGGCAGAGTTCGAGTCATCCTAGGACTTCCTCAGGCAGGCCAGCCATTCCCCCCCATTCACAAGCCCACAGCCTGGGGAGCAAGACTTCTTCCCCACCAATCCCCCCCTCAGTCCCTCCTGCCTGGCCCCAGCAGCCCACCTGGCCCACCTCCCCCCACCCCCATGCTAAATCAGACTCAGAGGAAGCCCAGCTGGCCTTCGCCTGGGTCAAGGGAGTGACCTGGTGCCTGAGATCCGGCTCCACCCTTCGCCCCAAACCTATCCCTCGCTCCACACAGCCCCTGCCCTTGGAGAGCTGCCCCTGCCTCGAAGCTCTGCCACAGTGGCCTGGAGTGGAGGACGACCTCACACCTGGTATCTCCAGGCAGAACCAAAGCATCACCCCTCTGTTTCGGGCCATCACTCTCTGTGAAGTTTGGGGGTCAGGTGGGCCAGAGCTGCCTGCCAGTCCCTAGGTCCCCACTGCTGGGCACAGGCACCCTCCCCTAGGGTTGCTCCAATGGTATTTCCCTCGCACTCCGGGGTTCAAGCTTCTCCATCGAACGTGTGCTCCATCATGGTCTAGACAGGATTCTCACCACTAGGGCTTCAGTGGGACCCTGCTGAAGACTCAGTGTTGGATGCCCCACACTCATCTTGGTGCCTTAGTTTCCGCTCTGTGGTAGAAACTCCATCACGGAGGCAAACTGGAGTTCTGGCACCTGGGGTCCTTTCCCTTCCAGCAGATGGGGGCTGGGGGTGGGGGAGGTGAGTCAGCAGCGTAGCACATACCCTGCCCCAACTCCAGCACTGGGAACATTCCCTCAGGCGCTTGCCCTCCCCCAAAATGACTTCCAGTCTGCCCACCCCTCCCGCCAGGACAGGAGCTAACCATCAATGCTTTTCCTGAGAATGGAGCCCAAATCACAGCTCGGAACTCAGCGTGAACTGGGCTCCTCCTCCTCCCCCCAGAAGAGCTGTGGCCTCCATCACTTCATTTGTTCAAAGGCAAGTATGCGGCCCTCTGCAGCGCCGTCACCCTGTTGGTGCCGACGTAGAAATTCCAGTGTGTCAGGGAGCGGGGGTCCCGGCCCAGGGGGACAAAGCCTGGCTGAGAGCCAGCCGTGCCTGGAGGACAGGGAGCTGCACTTGGCCCAGGCCAGGTTGGAGGGCTCAAGGGGGTCCTGGTGTGGAGGGTTGCTGTGGCTGCCAGCTTAGGGACAGCGAAGACAGAGCCACGGAGCATGCTTGCACAACACTGCCCCCCAGATCAGGGTAGGCCAAGGCCCTCCCAAACCGCTGCTCCTCCCACTCAGCCCACCCAAGGCGACTGTGCATGAGTCCCAGACTTACTCCTAAACCAGTGACAAAAGGCAGCCACGGGACGGAGTGCCCAGCTCCAGAGGCCCCAGGAGGCCGTGTGGTCAGGGTGCCCGGGACCGACGCATGTGTCCAGGGGACTGCACACGGCTGTTTCCACAGGTGCTCACACTGGCCAAGTGGGCCAGAGCTGGGCTAGGCCACTTCACACCCAAGGAGAGGAAGCCCAAGGAGCAGCACCACGGGGAAAGTAGCCCCCCTTCCCCGACCCTGGCCACGCCCAAACGCTCAAAGTCAAATCAGTTTATTCAGAAAAGGCCTTGGCACCAGACTAAGAAAATGAACCCCACTCCCACCCCCAACCCCTAAGGGCCAATTTACGAAGACGGGCAGGGGGCGGGGCGGGGCGCGGCGGGGCGGGGGGCGCGGCACAGAGGAGGCGGTGGGGCGTGAGTTCGAGGTAAGGATTCCGAAGTTCCTGGCTTCCGGCAGCTGCGGCGGCCACCAGGGAGGGGCCCTCAGGGAGGGGCCGGAACCGCACGGAGCTGACAACAGCCGGCAACGGGGCTCCCCAGACCTGTGGCTTCCCTGAAGGCTCTCTGGGTTTAGCCTAAGGCCCTACCTCAGCTTCCTCATCTACCGGTGGTGCTGCCGCGGCTGAGCCCCCGGGAGCAGCCTGCTCCAGCCCTGCCCAGCCTTCCGCCTCCTCCACCCCATCCTCACCCTCTCTGGCCTCAGGGCAGCCCGGCGCGGCAGGGTGCCGGGCGGGGGCTGGCTTCTTGGTCCCACCGTCTCCACCAGTGCCACCCACCGAGGCACCGTCCCAGGGGCCCTGGTCCACCTTCCTTCTCTTCCTCATCTCTTCGGCCACCTTGGCCCCTGGGGGCTGGGGGCAGGGCTGCTCGGCCTCCCCCGGGGCCTGGATGCCCAATTCCTGGGACCCCCGGCCGAGGCTGCCGTGGCTGAGGGCGCAGCCCTCCAGGTTCAGAGCAATCTTCTCCACGTCCGAGGCGCTCTGGGCGCCCGGCTCCCCTGGGGCCTGCTCCCGCCGGTTGGCCTCCAACTTCCTCTTCTTGCTCTCCTTGGGGCTCGGGGGCTCCGGGCCCTCCTCTCCGCGGCCCCCCGCCTCCCCCTCCTGGTCCCCCGCCAGAGCGCCTTGCGGCG